AATAGGACAAAGCTCATTTTCACGCACAACACGGTGTCGTTTTCTTTCTCGACCTCCCTCCTCCTCCTCCTCCTCCTCATTCTCGTCATGTTGTTCATCATTAGCCACCACTCTTGTCCTCTTTAGCATCTTCTTGAGCAATGCGTCCCTCTCGATCACTGTTTTATCCGAACATATATCACACAGCTCCAAGATATGGGTTATACTCATGTCAACCCTCAAACGCAGTATTTTGGGCCCCTTTTTTGAATATGACTGGCCAATTTCACGACCACGCTTTATAATATCTTCCACGACTGAATCGTGCCACTCGTCGTCCTCGATTTTCAGTTGGTACAGTTGCTCGGAGAGAAAAAGCATGACGACGTCGAGTTCAGTGTCTAACGAGCGCACATCATCAATTGTATGTGTTGCTGTTATAGCAGGCTCTTCATGCTCGCAGATAGCGATGCTTTGGGTTTCGTCTTCATCGGAGAGGTTGACGTAGTACTTGTTGTATACGAAGAGGGTGAAGTTGATTTCAAGTTTAGCCCTATCATGTGGAGATGAAGATTTCTCATTTTGATGATCATGATCATGATCAGGGTGGTGGTCTACTAATTCTGTGGTGATTAGGGGCTTGATATCACAGACGAATCCTTGATCGCTCTCGTGATAGATTTCCATTTACAAATATGTATTGAAGCATGGAGAACCAAGAGTAGTGGGATGATTATATATATATAGGTTTTAAATCCATGTAAAATGTGGAAACCGACTTCTTCTCGAAACAATGTTTTCCTTTTGTTAAACGGAGTTTGAATTCTTTCAAGTCTAGGACTGGGAAATTGTTGCTTTTCTTTTCTTGTTTGAACGGGAAAACCAAAAGTCCAAAACAGAGCGAATCCTAGAAAGAATGGGAAAAAGACAAAAACAGATATACACAAAGGCAGACGCCACAAACAGAGCGACACCTGTAATCCCACAAACTAAGCTGGCCAGCAACAACACGTTCCTCACGTGATCTCTACCCCCGCCGCCACGTGCCCCGACGAAGAATGACTTCACTTCCATCCCTGACTTCGCGCGCGCTGCAGGAGACCGTGATCCGACGGCCTCAGCTCTCTCGACCATCCGATTCCATCGCCACCGTCATAAAAAACACAGCGATCGCTATGCCGATTTCCATGGGAAGCGCCATTCTATCTCTCTCTCTGCCTCTGTCTTCGTCTCAGTCTCTAGAGAATTGAGGTCCAAACACGGCATCGTTTTATAAGAGTATGAGCACCAAACACTCTACACTCTGTGTGTCTCTCCCTCTCTCCTCCCTCCCTCGTCTCTCTCTCTGATGAGATAGAGCAGAGCAATCGTTTTGATTTGATTTGATTCATTCATTCAGTTGGAGTAGGGATCCGACTCCGACTGCGTTCAAACAAAGCAAACGGGTCCACTCCAAGAAACAACTGGATGTTGTCGTACTATGGAATCAAAGAAGAGGGGAAGGAGGGGTGTGAGGCTTCTTCCTCCTACCCTTCCTTTGGGACTCGCATAGGAACCTCATTCTCGTCATGTTGTTCATCATTAGCCACCACTCTTGTCCTCTTTAGCATCTTCTTGAGCAATGCATCCCTCTCGAGCACTGTTTTATCCGAACATATATCACACAGCTCCAAGACATGGGTTATACTCATGTCAACCCTCAAACGCAGAATTTTGGGCCCCTTTTTTGAATCCGACTTGACAATTTCATGACCACGCTTTATAATATCCTCCACGACTGAATCGTGCCACTCGTCGTCGTCGATTTTCAGTTGGTACAGTTGCTCGGAGAGAAAAAGCTTGACGACGTCGAGTTCAGTGTCTAACGAGCGCACATCATCAATTGTATGTGTTGCTGTTATAGCAGGCTCTTCATGCTCGCAGATAGCGATGCTTTGGGTTTCGTCTTCATCGGAGAGGTTGACGTAGTACTTGTTGTATACGAAGAGGGTGAAGTTGATTTCAAGTTTAGCCCTATCATGTGGAGATGAAGATTTCTCATTTTGATGATCATGATCATGATCAGGGTGGTGGTCTACTAATTCTGTGGTGATTAGGGGCTTGATATCACAGACGAATCCTTGATCGCTCTCGTGATAGATTTCCATTTACAAATATGTATTGAAGCATGGAGAACCAAGAGTAGTGGGATGATTATATATATATAGGTTTTAAATCCATGTAAAATGTGGAAACCGACTTCTTCTCGAAACAATGTTTTCCTTTTGTTAAACGGAGTTTGAATTCTTTCAAGTCTAGGACTGGGAAATTGTTGCTTTTCTTTTCTTGTTTGAACGGGAAAACCAAAAGTCCAAAACAGAGCGAATCCTAGAAAGAATGGGAAAAAGACAAAAACAGATATACACAAAGGCAGACGCCACAAACAGAGCGACACCTGTAATCCCACAAACTAAGCTGGCCAGCAACAACACGTTCCTCACGTGATCTCTACCCCCGCCGCCACGTGCCCCGACGAAGAATGACTTCACTTCCATCCCTGACTTCGCGCGCGCTGCAGGAGACCGTGATCCGACGGCCTCAGCTCTCTCGACCATCCGATTCCATCGCCACCGTCATAAAAAACACAGCGATCGCTATGCCGATTTCCATGGGAAGCGCCATTCTATCTCTCTCTCTGCCTCTGTCTTCGTCTCAGTCTCTAGAGAATTGAGGTCCAAACACGGCATCGTTTTATAAGAGTATGAGCACCAAACACTCTACACTCTGTGTGTCTCTCCCTCTCTCCTCCCTCCCTCGTCTCTCTCTCTGATGAGATAGAGCAGAGCAATCGTTTTGATTTGATTTGATTCATTCATTCAGTTGGAGTAGGGATCCGACTCCGACTGCGTTCAAACAAAGCAAACGGGTCCACTCCAAGAAACAACTGGATGTTGTCGTACTATGGAATCAAAGAAGAGGGGAAGGAGGGGTGTGAGGCTTCTTCCTCCTACCCTTCCTTTGGGACTCGCATAGGAATAAAGGGCTAGGGTTTTATGCAAAGGATTATACAAACGATCTAAAGCAAACAACGTGAAGGGAGATTCGAACTCGGGTGCTAAATGGAGAGCACATCCGCTATATCTAATTTAGAGGAAATGGAGCAGAAAAATTGATTAATTATCTGGAAAAATCGAGAGCATGATATATATGTATAACATATAAAGGGCTAGGGTTTTATGCAAAGGATTATACAAACGATCTAAAGCAAACAACGTGAAGGGAGATTCGAACTCGGGTGCTTAAATGGAGAGCACATCCGCTATATCTAATTTAGAGGAAATGGAGCAGAAAAAATTGATTAATTATCTGGAAAAATCGAGAGCATGATATATATGTATAACACTGGCAATTATCTACTTTAGTCATGACTCATGAGGTTCTCAATTTCTGAAATTGTTAAGTTTATGTATCTTCTTCTTCTTTAGTTTCTTAAGGAACCTATTAGCTACACTACTGAATCTATCTCTTAAGCCGGTCATCAAGGACTACGTAATCATATACTAAATAGAAACATGAAATAAATAGAAAATTTAATTCATTAAAACAACTCATTACAGAAAATTAATAAAACCACAATTTTTCATCGTGGTCCATTCAACAACAGGCATCTCAAAGCGACAAACAGGGCAATTAGATCTAGCCATACTCCTATGCATGTTTCATGAAACACGTGTGAGTAAAGCATGCTAGTAACATCTTCTGATCCCACAACAAACTCTTCCATACAAATAGTGCAAACCTCACTTTCTTGCACTACACATCTTATTTTTCTTTCTCGACCCTCCCCCTCATCACCATCGCATTCTTTTCCATTATCATCAGCCACCACCTTAACCCTCTTCATCATCTTCCTGATAAAAAAACCTCCTTTGTGCACCTCTCGCATCGCCACAAGATACGGTCTCTTCTCATAACAACCCTCAAGCCTAGCATTCTATTGGAACCCTTTTTTGAACCTGAGTTGCCAATTATGTTGCTCACGGCGTCTATAATCTCTTCCACTATTGCATCTTGCGAACCCTCTTCTATTCTAAATTCAGAAATAAAGAACAAATTTGACGTTGCTGTGCATAGTTTCTACGCAACTCACGTTAAGTTTGCGTGTTGCTTTTTTCACAGGTTCATAGAACAAATTTGACGTTGGATAGACGCTGATGGAAACATCAGAGAAAGAGGAGGAGCTTCCAGCCCAAATAACTCTAAAAGTTTTGTTAACGGACTTTTTAGTAGGCCTCAACAAACAGAACTTCAATTAGATGAATTAATAGATCCAGACCAAGACTATCAAGCTTTTGCCCAGAATGATTTAAGAGCGGTAAATCCAAGAACTTTATACAATACAGGTTTCCAGCTAATTAATAGAACTACTTTCTTTTCTTTAGCACCCGGACTTGAAAAACGAATCTTTCTTTTCTTTAATTTTCTTTGAAGTCCGTAGTAGCCTCAAGACTTATTAGGCCATATATACAGACTTCTAAGAGTCAGTTTGCAGCAATCGCCACAACCTCCAGCACTTGAGGAAGACCAGCGCAAACTCAGTGGTAAATGTTTCTTTGCATATCCTTTAAGAAAAAATCGTAGAGAATTTATTAGAATTGCGGTTTTTCAATATATAATTTGTAGACAAGTGTTAGAAGGAAATTTAGATCTAAGTTGGTATATTATTAGAAATCTTAGGTAGAAATACGCTAAGATAAAGACCTTTTAGGCCCCCAGGGAGCCCTTATTTCTGGTATCAGAGCAATATAAGATTCTAGACCTCTAGTAAAGACAACATAGCTATGGAAAAAGAGCGCCATTATTTAGAATATCTTGGTTTAGAACTTTCTAATCCTCACACACAATTTAGAGAAAACAAAGCAAAAGGTTTTTCCATTCACTGTAATTTTCCTAGCGATTTAATGCAGCACATTCTTCATACTGAAGAAAATACTCAAACTAATAAACAGTTAAACGCTGTTATAGATTTGTTAATTAATCTTGGTTATAAGATAGAGAAAAAACAAGGTCAATTAATAGAAAAATTTGAGACACTAGAAAAATCTTATTCTGACAGAATTTCTAAATTAGAAAAACAATTTAATAGTTTAACTACCAATCTAGATTTAGAATATCTTTGTGAGAAGACCAAACAATTTGAGAGAGAGAGAGATCAGAGAGAAGCTTTAGAGAGAAGAAACCTTGAGACACAAAATGCCTTTCTTGAGCAACAGCTGTCAGACCACAAAAATAAGATTCTTTTCTTAGAAGAACAAAATAGACGACTGTCAGACAGTCAAACTCAGCTTCAATTACAGATTGCACAGACTCAGGCGAGGTTCATTCCACTTCCCCTTCAAAGTGGTCAGATGGGTGGTAACTTTCCAGTAAGTTACAATAGGGTCAGTGAAACGGCCAAAACTGTTTCACCTAGCCCGTCCCAAACGGTAGACGGTAAAGGCTCATCAAATCCGTTGATGGCTGAGGCTTTGCCCAAAAGCCTAGAACAGGTACAGATTAGTTCAAAGACGGACAAGGGCGAAAACGTT